CGTGGGCACGAGAAAGTATCTCGTGAGCACGAGAAACTAACCCGTTATCCCGACTTTTCTTTTTGGAGAAAGTTACCGCCTGTCAGCGCCACTTCAATGATGCCGTTTAAAAACATAAAAATGTAAGGGCGGTGCCAGCCGTCAGTGAACCGAGCCAGCCGTCAACGGCCCTTGACGACCGGCCGTTCTGTGATTCTCCAGATTCTACAGATGGCCAGTCCGCCCACACACACCTCTACAACACATCGAACTGCGGACACGTGCAGCAGCGTTCTGAATCAGCTGCAGTTTTCTGATGGATTGTTTTGTCAGCCCTGTGAATACACTATTGCAGTAGTCGAGTCTACTAATGATAAAAGCATGGACAAGCTTTTCTAAGTCCTGTTGTGACATTAGTTTTGTAATCCTCGATATGTTCTTCAGGCTGTACTCAGCATTGAATCAAAACGCACCATAGCTTTAAATCTTAATAAGTTTGTGAGGCGTTTTGCTGAACAAGATGGTAATCGCCGCATTCAGCTGTTATAGGCATGCCAACTTGATGCTCTGCTCACGGATGACTCGATGAGCATAATAAACTGTTAAGACGATGACCTTACGTGTGTAAATATATTTTTTTCTTTGTGGGGGTCTGCCCCCAAAAAACAGTTTTAAGTCCTGAGAAAGTCAAATAAGACGTACAACTACACTGCCCAGCCAAAAAAAAGTAACCACTTTGATTTAACTAGGCCAGTAGGTAAGGACTTTCCACTGGATAATAACTGCAGCGATGTTTTAGCTGAATACACGTTTTTTTAACCCTAACTGATGCAGTTAGTCACTTCTTTAATGTTTGTTCTTTCTGATGTAAAGTCAAGGTTGTAACTGTTTGCAATGAAGTTGTGGGGCGCTGAACTGTTCCTTTGATTCTGTTGATATATGATATAATTACTTGTCTTTCAAATTTGAAGGAGGGTGAGCAAGCATCTTGTGGAACATTCATCATTAACTCCTCCAAAAAATATATTTATTTAATAATAACACTGAATATGTGAATCATAACAGTGATTGACAGCTGATAGGAATAAAATGATTGTTAATAGTATCATATTCATTTAGACAAACATTGACGAGACAGTTAATTAACGTACTTATTGCAGCAGTCTGAATCAACCTGATCCCACCAGAATGCGTGACTCCACCACGACTCCTTAACACCGCATTGCGTGGTGGAGTCACGCATTCTGCTACATTTACGTGTCGGCACCAAAAAAACCCAATGTAATGTGAATGAGGCTCTTTTGTCGTGGTGCACACACGCATTTCGACAACGTCCCGCAGTGAGCTTTTATTCTATAAAACGTTTTTTAAATCTACTTTATAGCTTGTCTCACGGGAGGCTTCTTTTATTTTATTTGTATTCATAATATTTTTGATTTTTCGTCAGAATGTAAAAATTACATTAGTTACGAGTTTTTGTTCTCAAAAAATAGTGCATTGTTACAAATATCAAAACAATAACAAAATATATCCGTCGTAAACTAAACCAGAAACAGCAGTATATTTTATTTTGTTAACGCTGTAAACTTGACAGCTTTTTAACCCGCACCTCCTACTGGTTAAAGCACGTTATTACACGTTTAGAGTAATTGCAATGCATGTAGGTTATGTTGCTTTTTAATGACTGTTTTAAAATGCCTTTTTCTTAATGTCTTTCATTTTTGTAAAGCACTTTTGAATGTGTTATATTTGATGAAAACATTTCAATATTAAGAGTATATACAAAATAGTGGGAAAGTAGAAGGTCAATTATATAAATATAGAATAGAAAATATCAAGAAGATACTGTAAATAATATCTACAATAAAACAGTTTAGTGCCTGATAGGAGGATGTGCAAAACAGACAAACTAATAAGGCTTTATTTAAACATTAAAGAATACTTTAGGTTAAGGTCTTCTTTTCAATAAGAAAAAAGCTTTGGGGGTATCTATCTACAGATACATAAGCCTGACAAAGTACTTAACGTCTAATATATTGCATGGTTTGTTTTGGAACTTGACAATCAACTTTCCTGCAATGTTAACTATGTTGAAGCATTTATTTTAACCGATATTATACATATTTATTATACTCTTATAAGATGTATGTAGATAGAATAATACATGTGCAGAATATGACAGTTTAATGGTGGTATACACACATATTAATAGATGTCTTGTGTAGATGTCACTGTTGAGGAACATGTGACCCAAGTTGTTCACTCATTGCATAACTACACCGTAGTTGTGTATATGATATGTCAATAAACCTTAGAAAATTATCACCAACTATCAAATATCTCTCCTGATTGTTGGCACTTGACAATCACCTTCACTGAATTGTACTCAGGTGTAACTAAAGTCTGATTTAAGGGTTGTTTATATTTCACATCATTAATCCAAATCTCTAGAGTAACTAAAATAAATGTAGTGGAGTACAAATACCAGGTTAACCTTAAAGAAAGCCCTCAGGATTATAAAAGACCCCCATCACCCCAGCCACAAACTGTTCTGTCTGCTGCCGTCTGGCAGGCGGTACCGCAGCATCCGGACTAGTCCAGACAATATTGTTTTTAAACGTTTAAATCAAAGTTTTATTACATGCAATTTTACATTTTAAACTTGTATAATCATATGAAAAATACAGAGTTACTGGGTTTAAATTAACTCCCTGAGAGACCTCTTCGTCAGGGAATAAAATACATGTTTTAAAGAGATTTCTAAGTATTTAAATACAGAGTAAATGTTAAACACAGTTTTCCCAGGAGAAGCCTAAACAGAGAGGACGACCCATTGCTGTTCAGCGTGGATTATCAAATGCACACGTTTATAAACTCTAAAGGATTTAATCTCAATCTAAAATACTGATTTATTGGCAGCGGTGTGTTATCGAGTCTTAACAACCTCTTAAACTTCTAATTTGACTAATCAGAATTTAGTATTCAGCTAAGATGTTTAATACAATATAACCACCCCCCCCCCCCCCCTCATTCTATTCATGTTTATTTCCTCACTGACATGACGTGTCTCAAAGTAAATACAAAAATATGTCAAACTTTGATTTCAGTTTTGACAAGGACTCCATTTCTCCCCTCGGTTTTCACGGTTTTTACGTTTACGTTAATTGATGAAGAAAAAAGCTGACACATCTTCACTTCAGCGGGCACCATCTTCAAAATCATCTCTTTGCTTTCAAAGGTAGCACTTTACTGTCCCCAGTAACCACATGACTTAAAGGGGACCTATTGTGCATGTCTCTTCTTCATCAACATGTGTCCCCTCTTCTTCATGTCTCTTCTTCATCAACATGTGTCCCCTCTTCTTCATGTCTCTTCTACATCAACATGTGTCCCCTCTTCTTCATGTCTCTTCTTCATCAACATGTGTCCCCTCTTCTTCATGTCTCTTCTTCATCAACATGTGTCCCCTCTGTGGAAAGAGACTCTGAAAGTTTCAGGAACAAAGATTCTCTCTCTTTTTGTCCCGATCCATTTATATAAAAACCTGTCTGAAAATCAGTTCTAATTTGACCAATCAGAATTTAGTATTCAAGATGTTTAATACAAAATAATAATATATAGTAAGGTCAAATATGTAATGGAGAAGATAAAGTAATGTGTGCACTACATGAATATATAAAAACATGTATGTTACAATCAGGGTTTGCGTTAACCGAATATTTTCCGTCTATGACGGATTTTTTAACAATGACGGAAAAATCTGAATGTCGTCCGTCATTTTGACGGATTAGAACAAACTCAGACCAGCGCCACAGTTTCCCCGCAGCGAGGCTCCGGTGTTATGCCGTCTTATGCATGCCCGCCCAAAAGGAAATTATACCGTTTCCAAACCGAACTTTGCCGAACAGATAAGTGAAATGTCTGGGAGTATTTGCTTTACGCTGTGCACGCTCCCGCGAGGTGCAGTGGACATGCATTACACGGCGCTAACAGTCCCCTGTTGACAGTTCACGAGCGTGCCCCCCCCCCCGGCAGAGTTTTGTACAGGCCGACCGACGGGTAATAATGGATTTTGACGGAAATGTTACGATCCTGCCCGTCAAAATGACGGGCAGCGAAAAAGTCTAGCGCAACCTCTGGTTACAATAGAGTTGTGCATTAATATTAATAATGATATCACTCAGATTATTAAAGCAGCAACAATCACATGTAATGAGAAAAGAGCAAACAGATGTTACAATGCTGTCAAATAATAAACTAACTTTCTGATTAAATTAGTTCCACAAGAACAGAGGATTCTTCAGACTGAAAACAAGTTGCTTCTTTTCCTCATTCTATTCATGTTTATTTCCTCACTGACATGACGTGTCTCAAAGTAAATACAAAATATGTCAAACTTTGATTTCAGTTTTGACAAGGACTCCATTTCTCCCCTCGGTTTTCACGGTTTTTACGTTTACTCTCTGTTAATTGATGAAGAAAAAAGCTGACACATCTTCACTTCAGCGGGCACCATCTTTAAAATCATCTCTTTGCTTTCAAAGGTAGCACTTTGATGTTCTCAGTAGTAACCACATGACTTAAAGGGGACCTATTGTGCATAATCCTCTTCTCCATGTCTCTTCTACATCAACATGTGTCCCCTCTGTGGAAAGAGACTCTGAAAGTTTCAGGAACAAAGATTCTCTCTCTTTTTGTCCCGATCCATTTATATAAAAACCTGTCTGAAAATCAGTTGATCAGATTTTGGCCGCTTGAGTAACCATTAGCCAATCACCAACCAAGGTAACCCCCCTACCCTGAATCTCCTCCTAGAGTACCATTGAGTTATTTTTAACCAAATATCTCTCAGAGGGGCGTGGGGAGTGGCTCCTTATTTTCATCTAAAGTAACAGACAGAGAATCAGCACTTTTGAAACAGAGGGGATTATGGGATGCTGCAATGATCTGTTTGGTATTTCAGACAAACACTCCAGAGACATGTTCTGTATATATGTGAGACCAATAATATATTGATGGAAAACAGTGTAATAATAGTACCTTTAATAGCAGCACATTAACATAACAACAAGCTATTTAGATGGACTCAGTGTGAATGCGTTGGTGGGCACTCAGCGCACCACTCGTAATAAAGGTTTTCTCACACTGCTCACACCAGTAGGGTTTCTCTCCGGTGTGAAGGCGTCGGTGGACCTGTAGGATGTAGGCCCGTGCAAAGGTCTTCCCACAAAGGTCACACCAGTACTGTTTCTCTCCAGTGTGAGTACGCTGGTGACGATATAGTGTACATAGCCTTGGGAAAGCTTTTCCACATTGGTTGCAGCTGTGTGGTTTCTCTCCAGAATGAATACGTCTGTGTTTCTTCAGGTCACTACTGGTGGTGAAAGATTTCTCACATTGGTCACAGCTGAATGGTTTCTCTCCAGTGTGAATGTAATTGTGAGTTTTCAAATGAAATTTTTTGGAGAAAGCCGCCCCACATTGGTCGCAGCTATATGGTTTCTCTCCAGTATGAATGCCATAATGGGCTCTTAAATCATTAGCTAATGAAAAAGCTTTCCCAAATTGGCCACAGATGTGTGGTTTTTCTCCAGTGTGGGATATGTTATGTCTGTTGAGGTGACACTTCTGTTTGAAAGCTTTCCCACATTGGTCACAGCTGTAGGGTTTCTCTCCGCTGTGAACTCTCTGGTGAATCAATAGATATCTAGACGTTGCAAAGGACTTGTCACAGTGCTGACAGCTGTGACTTCGGGGACCCTCTCTTGTTCTCGGTTTCTAAAGAAAACAGACAGAGAGAGACTCAGTTAGGTGCCAGAAATAACATTTAGAAAATGTCAGTGTAATAAGCATGGATGTATAATAAGAACTGGAAAAAGCTCATTCGATCCTATGAGAGTTGCTCATTGATGCAGTAAGCCAAAATGGCCTGACGTTCTCGAGAGCAAATCGTCACAAATTACCCATCATGCCTTGCTCTCGAGAGCATGCGCAGTTGAGTTTCCCCGTAAGCCCCGCCCCCGATCTCCCACCCAGTAGAATGAATGGAGAGAAGATACATTTGGATTCAGCTCTAAAAACATTTGATTAACCTAATGATTCAAATAAGCGCTATAAAAGTGTTGTAGTACCAGCGACTATCAATATTTGCATAAGCGAACCGTGCTGTAGTTCCTTTTTAGCCCAACATTAGCCACCTTTAGCTTAGCGGTGGTGACGTGAAGTCATGTGACCGTGCTGTAGTTCCTTTATAGCCCAACATTAGCCTCCTTTAGCTTAGCGGTGGTGACGTGAAGTCATGTGACCGTGCTGTAGTTCCTTTATAGCCCAACATTAGCCACCTTTAGCTCAGCGGTGGCAACGTGAAGTCATGTGACCGTGCTGTAGTTCCTTTATAGCCCAACATTAGCCACCTTTAGCTTAGCGGTGGTGACGTGAAGTCATGTGACTGTGCTGTAGTTACTTTATTACATTACATTACATTTAGCTGACGCTTTTATCCAAAGCGACTTACAATAAGTACATTCGACCAGGAAGACACAACCTTGAAGAAAACAGAATCATATAAGTACATCAGGTTTCATAGAGCCAAACATTTCAAGTGCTACTCAACTGGCTATAGATAAGCCAGTCCTTTATTAGTATATAAGTGCTTTGTTAATAATTCTATCGCTCGAGGTGGAGTCGAAAGAGATGAGTTTTCAGTCTGCGCCGGAAGGTGTGTAAGCTATCTGCTGTCCTGATGTCAATGGGAGCTCATTCCACCATTTTGGAGCCAGGATAGCAAACCCACGTGTTTTTGCTGATGGGAACTTGGGTCCCCCTCGCAGTGCGGGTGCAGCGAGTCGTTTGGCTGATGCAGAGCGTAGTGCACGCGCTGGGGTGTACGGTTTAACCATGTCCTGGATGTAGGAAGGGCCAGATCCATTCGGAGCATGGTACGCAAGTACCAGTGTCTTGAAGTGGATTCTAGCAGTTACCGGAAGCCAGTGAAGGGAGCGGAGTGGTGTGTGAAAATTTAGGAAGGTTGAAGACCAAACGAGCCGCTGCATTCTGGGTGAGCTGCAGAGGTCGGATGGCACATGCAGGTAGACTTTATAGCCCAACATTAGCTTCTTTTAGCTTAGCGGTGGTGACGTGAAGTCATGTGACCGTGCTGTAGTTCCTTTATAGCCCAACTTTTACATCAGAAATCATAACGTGGTTTTAATATGTGGAGATAATTCTGATCGAAGTTCGGTCATCCGGGAGGGACTCAGAGTTGAGCCGCTCCTCCTTCGGGTCGAAAGGAGCCAGTTGAGGTGGTTCGGGCACCTAGTTAGGATGCCACCTGGGCGCCTCCCTAGGGAGGTGTTCCAGGCACGTCCAGCTGGGAAGAGACCAAGGGATAGACCTAGGACCAGGTGGAGGGATTATATCTCTTCGCTGGCCTGGCCCTGGCTGGTTGATGTCGCCAGGGAAAAAAAGTTTGTGCTGGAACTGCTACCCCCAAGACCCGACCACGGATAAGCGGGAGAAGATGGATGGATGAATGTACTCAGGTACTGTACTTAAGTACAAGTTTATGGTACTTCTACTTCACTTGAGTATTTCAGTTATTTGCTACTCTGTACTTGCACTCCACTAGAGTTCAGAGGTGAATGGTGTACTTCTACTCCACTACACGTAAATCTACCAGCTACCCTGCAGTATACAAAGTCATTCAAACTAGCTGCACCTTCACCAGCTTTGAGAACACTTTCATGATCAATCATTAGAAAACATATCATATATATTATTCTGAAATGGACCAATCTGCACAACGACTACTTTTACTGTCTTTCACTATATTTTGATGAGAATACTTTTCTACTTTCACTTGAGGAACATTTTGATTTCAGGATTTTTACTGTAACAGAGTATTCCTCTTGTACTTCTACTTTTACTCAAGTACAAGATCTGAGTACTTCTCCCACCTCAGTATTTGATGCATTGTTATATTATATAAAGTAAAATGTTTACCTTATCTTAATTTCAAATGTACACAGGCACGTGCTCACAATGCACAATTATTACTGTGATTATTTTCTAAAAGAAGTTTTCACATTCAACTTTAAATAAATCATGCTCACAATTCAGACCAGCCACATGCTGCACCACCCATAGGAGGGTTGTGCATCTTTTCAACTGTATCAAGTTCTTCGAAATGTAGAGTTTGAAGTCTTTCGAACTCTAAAGCTAATAATAAATTAAAGCTAATAACTAGATCCACTAGTTATCTTATTTATTTATATATTTATTTGACAGGGACAGTGCCCATTGATTGACATTTCTGTAAATGCGCCAGAGTAGCCAACAGGCTATTTTTCGTCTGTAGTCCCTGGACAGATGTTAAAAGTCATCCTAAAAACAAAAATGCACTTCAAATAACAGGTAAATACAATCAGTAAAACAACATTCAACAGAGATACTTATATTATGATAAAAGCATATATAAAAACTAAACTAAAATACATATTCACAAAGCAGACAGATACAGGTCAAGGCATATGTACAAACAGAGCGTTGTAATGTACAGATTGTGTCAGTGTTGACATAGCTGACTTTCCACTAACCATGTTTTTAAGGTAGATTTAAATAAACTGCAGGTGTTTTGTTCTCTAATCTTTACTGGGATTGAGTTCAGTGGATCTTTATCCCTACTGATTTAGTTATCCACTGATAATTCATTCAGTTTAGTTATCTCTTACGTTTTAACTGGTATCAACTGTGCATGATGCACAGTTGTGCATCAACATCATCTTTTCAACCCATATTCTCATTTTCCCATCAAAAATATTAATATAAAAATATGTAAAGTTTTAAAATGCCATAGAAAGAGGTGTGTCCTATGCAGCCAGTGTAGTTATTTGATCCAGCATTGATTTTGAGTGATTAGGTCACATGACCTAGCAGTTATTGAAGAAATATGCAAATGGTTCCATCAAAATATTAATAAAACTTATTTAAAGTATTAAAATGCAATAAAAAGGTGTGTTCAATAAATGTATGCTCTAGAGCAGTGGTTCTCAACCGGTCAGGCCTTTTGAACCACTCAAATCTATTCAACAAAAAAAATCGTGCAGTAATTATACGCTTTTCAGCATACAATATTAATTAAAGTGAGCTTTTTAGAAATACTAACATATAAACTACGCATTATGGTACACTCTGAGAAGAAAATAAATAAATCTATTACTACCCGACATATTAATAATATGTTATGCCATTGTTTGTTTTTCACTTTGTTCTGACAGCTTGCTGCTCCTCACAGAGAGAAGAGCAACGAGGAGATAGTCTGTGTGAATTACTTTAAATTGTGGGTAGGGTAGATAGCCCCCATTGTTCTTTGACCTGTCAATCATCAAACTGGGGGTCATATTTCATTAGGTGTTAATTTATATCTGAAGTTGTACCCATGGATGTATAAAGAGTAGTTCTACATCAAAGTTATTTTCCGTGGGGACTTCCAGCAACAATCTTGATTGGCCAGAAGACTCAAACAAATCAGCAAAGAGGTTTTATTGAGAAGATGAAACTACGTGACAGAAGTTTTCAAAACCGTTTATGGTCTCTGGTACTTCCAGTCCAACGCCTACTGAATGCACAGCGTTGGAAAATCGGGCCTTCAAAATAAAAGTTTGACGTTTTCCCCAAAAAACAAATGTTTTCTTCACTCACACATCTGGGACACACGGAACGGGTCCGCGACCCATTTTTGGGTCGCGAACCACCAGTTGAGAACCACTGCTCTAGAGTGAATTTGCTTCACATTCACACGATCGAGAAGCTGTCGATTTATTAAAAATAACATTTTTCTTGTGTAATTGTATAAGTAATTTGTTGATGGTCCCGAAGTGAAAGCCTCGTTTCGCGAAGAAGATCTCCCCGTCGCAATTCTTTCACACACACATACGGGTATTGGGCCGAGGGCGACACCGTACTTCCGGTATCCACCATTTTACGCGAGGTGCAAGCAGGCCAAGGGTTTAGCGATTTATTCGGTCGTTAATTCAGAAAAAAAACCTAGTGCGCTCTGCTTTGCTACGTTAGCTAGCTGTTTATATTTGCACTTCCAGGATATTTGCACCTCCATGAAAATGGCGTATTTATATATATATATATATACAGTGGCGACGGGTCATTAGGGGCAGGTGGGGCACAGCCCCACCTAGTGTCAGCAGAAAGTATTACAAATAATGATTACAAAAAAATAAAAATAAATATAAAATATATTTTAAGATCATGTTTAATCATCTGATTCGTCTGTACATTTCTGTTTTAGTCTGTGTTCTTCTAATTAGTGTCTACAGTGCCGTTTTGAGCTGTTTAGAGCCATGTGGGACAAAACCCGATCCTGCCCCTCCCTCTCACAGTCCAAGTGAACGGTGACTGTAAAAACGACACTGCGCATGCTCAGAGTATTTTTCTATTTAATGTGTGTGGCAAAAAAATTATGACCATAGGGGCATAGTGCTGCCATCCCCACCATACGTCATCTCACATAATTCAGAATTGATTGGCTGTAAGTACGTCACGTGTGCAGTGCTGCGAAACGTCACGTGTAGTTTGAAGAGGAGACGAGAGAGCAGCATATAGCTAACATCACCAGCGATTAAAAGAAGTACAAAACTGAAAGAAAATGAATGAAGTTGATCATTTACTGGAGCACACATTTGAGACACTTAGTCTCGGAGAGAAACTGGAGGTAAAGCGCCTCGGTGCCCACCATCCACCGGATTTCCAAATGGTCCAGACTG